CAGAGGTCCTAGAGGGGGAAAGTGACTCATCTGGGCAGGTCATATAACAGAGGGCGGGCAAATACAAGTAAGATCAGGATTTTCTCACCTCTGTTTTTACCATTTAATCCTAATCTGCCAGGTGCCAGGCTCATTAGATGATCCCATGATAATGTTACCACAGTGCTCTATTTTCTTAGCAAGAAGCCTCAGCAATTTTTTTCTGTTGAAGCCCCCCTCCCCGATACTTTTTACAGCTTTACGGATGTATAATTTACGTATCACACAATTGATTCACCTATCATAAATACGCAGCTTGATAATTTCTAATAAATTTAGATAGATGTGCAATCATCACTACAATGCAGTTGAACTTTTAGTATTTTGCTTTATTTCTTCTAGAATCCAATCCAACTTCCCAGGTTAATTTTATAGTAAGAAGGAAGTTCTTTCTCTTGTCACCTCAATGCAAGCAAACATTATCTTTCTAGAAATAGTGGATATGCTTCTATAATTCTTAAAGATGCTATTAGGCTTATTTATATTTGGGAGGGAATGATTTGGGTGATAGTTTGAAAAGGAAGGTAGGAGTTAGTTCCCTTTTTATTGCCCACATAAATCTCTTATTCTTGGTCATGCAATCAGGGTGTGTTGGCCCCAACCACACAGAGTGAAGGGTGATGTACCAGGTACAGTGTTGCAAAGAAAGTATGAATGCCTTGGCTGGGTAATGTATGTCTATTATAAAATACTGTCACTTTGTAGATACTGTGACGAGAGCGCCACCTGATGGGAAGTATGCAGGCAGGAGCCATCAAGATGACATTTCAGAAATAAAATTTTGAATCCCTTTCTCCTCTCTAGCTTTTAGATAATGATATGAGATAGAAGCATTTTCATTTTTCTCTAGGTTTTAGATAATGATATGAGATAGAAGCATTTTCATTTAGGCATCTGTCTTTGGGTTTTGCATGCCTTTTAAGGTAGGAGAAACCAACTCAGAAAACTAATTTAGGCAACAATAATTCCTTTTAACAAATCGTTTCACTACGATTTTTTTTTTAATTTTAAGAAACATTTTAAATTTAGAAAAGCATTGCTAGTCAATGGACTTTTATGGTGGTTGATAGTTCACAGATGAATGTTGTACTTTTCCATAACGTATCTTTAAGTGAGGGATATATTCAGGTATAGAACTAACCTTTCCTTTATAGGTCCATGGACATTCCACTGGTTTTTAGCCAGGAATAAAGGTCAGAATCAGGGGGACTTTTTCCCAGAGCAAAGGCCCGAGTGTCACTCTAAATCTGTTAACTCAGTCATCAGAGATGGAGCTTGGGAATAGATATTCTGCTGTGCATTCTAAATACCACCAGGTCCAGACACCACCTTGTCACTGCAGTCCCTAGGTTATTTTTAAGTCTCCAACTTGATGTCCTGGTTTTCTGACCCTTCTGCTTTTCCTTGATCCTCAATACTGCTATCTGAAATTTTTCCTGTCTTATTTTATTCCTATTATTTTCTGGCCAGAAATCTTCTGTGGCTGTCTAGTGTCTAGCTAAAAAAAGTCCCATCTCTTTAGCTTGGCATCTGATGTTCTCTGCAGTTCTGCCCAATGAACTTTTTAGGCTTAATTCCCACTATTCTGTACTGAACAAAAGCTTTTTTCACAATCTCCCGTGGATCTCAAACTTGGGTGCATATTAGAATTATCTGAGGAGTTTTTAAAAATTCCAACATCCAGGCCACATCCCATACCAATTTATTTAGAATTTCTGGGATGGGGCTCAGCATCAAAAATTTTAAAAAACTCTTCTAGATGATTCCATTGTTTAACCAAGTTTGAGAGCCAGCAATATGTTCTAGAGTAGTGCTTCTCAAAATTTAATGTGTATATCTATCACCTGGGGATCTTCAAATGCAGATTCTGATTCCGTAGGTTGGTGGTAAACCCTGAGATTCTGCATTTCAACTCTCAGATGACAGTGATACTGCTGGTCCAGACTACACTTTGAGGACCTAGAGAAGTATGGCATGTATGTCAGTCATCAACTATGCACATCGTTTTCCAGCTTCATTTTCTTTGCATCTACCTACACTTCCCTTTCCTAATCTTCATCTGTCTAAATTCTCTTTGACAGCATATTCTTCCATCTCCCTAATGAGGTCCACTTTCGCTTGTTAACTCTTACTCATCTTTAAAGACTTAGTTCTGCCATGACTCAAGGAAAGACTTTCCTGATTCGCCTTCCTTGAACCCCACTGAGGACACACAGCATTTTTTAGTTCTTCTCTCTCTCTTCCCTTCTCTATCTCTTACTCTAATTACAAAAGTCATGGAGATTTGATCATTTTTTCATTAAAAATTAATTCTAATTACTTTATGTAATTAGAATAAACTACAGAGCAGTTTTTAAAAAATTCCCAATTCAAGTCGATTTGTTTTTCAGTTAATACCAATAAATGGGGCTTTTTAAAAAGTTTAGTTCTTTTCTAGTGACTAGTGATTTAAAAGAGCCCTAGTGGTTAAGAGCTCAGCTGCTAACCAAAAGGTTGGCAGTTCAAATCCACCAGCCACTCCTTGGAAACCCTATGGGGCAGTTCTACTCTGTTCTATAGGGTCCCTGTGAGTCAGAATCGACTCGACGGCAATGGGTTTGTTTTTTTCAGTTAATGATTTTAAAAAGATCTGAGAAAAATAAAAAAACAAAGGTCTGATATCACAGGGTCAGGAGAAAAAAAGGAAACTACGGGGAAAATAACTGATTCATATTTTGGATGTGAAAGTAAAACATAACAACATTAACAAAATAATAGAATTTTATAGCTGCTATTATTATTAAATGATTATTATGTGCCATGCATTGTTCTAAAATGTGTTACATGGACTAGCTCGGTTCATCTTAATAGCAGTGAGGTAGTTCCATTTTAAGATAAAGGAGATAGAGACACAGGGCTATTAAACCACAAGCCCAAGGTTATACAGTTAGCATGTGGTGGAGCCAGAACCGAAAGCCAAGCCACCTGACCCTCGAATACATGCTCTTAACCTGGAAGGCAATCCTTAAAGGATAAGGAAAATAAAAGAAACAAACAAGAAAAATGAAACAAATCTATGCCAAATGAACTCTGGGAAAATCCCCTGGAGGGCAAGGTCCTGAATTTGGAATGACGCAGTTTCAGGCCATAGCTCTGACTTCCTGGAAGCAAATCAGGACATCTAGGTTAAAACCCAGAGCTGTCATTAACTGCAGTCTCAGGGATATTTTTTTTTTAAAATCTGTCTCTGGTCATTCCTTAGTTAAAGGGAATGAGAATACTTACTAATTTCCCAGGTCTACTATGAGTTGGAATCAACTCGACGGCAAAGAGTTTGGTGTTTTTATTTTTTTTTTGTTAGTATGAGAAACAGGAGTCCTGGTGGTGCAGTGGTTATGTGTTCGGCTGCTAACTGAAAGGTCAGCAGTTCGAATCCACCAGCTGCTCCTTGGAAACGCTATGGGCAGTTCTACTCTGTCCTGTACAGTTACTATGAGTTGGAATTGACTCATTGGCAACAGGCTTGGCTTTTTGGTTTATGAGAAACAAGTGATAGGAAATAAGTGGAAGTGTTCTAAAGTGTAAACCACCATCACATGCAGAAGATACCGAGTGACGCTGTTCTTCCGACTTC